CCCCACTCACGTGTACTCCCAGCTCTGTCGTGTGTCGGAACAGATCCATCGCTTCTTCGTGGCCAACGACTTCAGCAATCAAAGCCTGCACAAGGGATGAACAAGAATGTAGTCAATTTAGTTTCAGCAGAGATCTCTATTGTATCACATGCATAACACTGAGGGTATCCTTGGAAAGGGAGTTTCTTATATTCTCTTAGTTTCATCTTACTATAAACTTGAACAAGATGGGTGACAATGACAAAAAATTTGTGAATGAAAGTGCTTCTAACATGCTGTCATAACGTACATCCATTGTGGAATATATTAAAAAGCACTGGCCAGCTCAGGGAGTGATAGTGACATCATGACATGAGCCTCCCATCAGACACAACACAAGACTACAAACATTCCACTACATATATCTGTGCTCCAATTAATAAGAGTTCATTGTCATCCAGAAAAAGAAAAAAAAATGAATTTCATTTCAACATTTCAATAAAACTGTAGTGGAGCAAGTAATAGTTTACTAACAATCATCATTGTAGCAGCTCCATTTTTCCAAAATGCCAATTCAGACAACAGCAATACTTGAAGGAATGGAAAGAAACAGACCACACTGCACAGCCCTATAGTCAAGACCATGTAGAGGATATGTTGTCAATGGAGGATATGTTGTCAATACTTCTTGTCAATCTAGGATTGTGTTGGTGATGTTGACGCTTTTAAAAACAGACGACACATAATAACTCAAACAGTTTCTGACACAGACGACAAATAACTGTTAATGGATCAGTTTTCCCTCACTCACCTGCCCCACCCAGCAGGCGACGTACGTCGGGTCCACACTCTGGGCTGACTTGAAGGCATCGTGAGCTAGCTACAAGGGGAAATAACACAGAAAAGTTCAAACAAATCAGAGAGAGAGGTGATCGGTTCTCAGAGCACACTCATTTATTTTTAGAAAGACAGTGAGACAAAATCAAAACATTAAATACGCTACGAGTGAAACAAGAATGAAATTCTATTTCTTGAAATGAAATGTACAGAATTACCACACTAACAGATGTTTTTATACCTCCTCGATAAAAGCAATCACTTCACAGGCCTAAACACATTCAGGGAGCTTCATGGATACGCTGCAAGTTTCTCACCACGTCGACTCCACAGGGAGGATGGATCAGATCGAGGTAAATCACAAAGTTGACAAAGTGATATCACTTTGATAATAATGATATGGTATGAGTTTCACTCCATTTTTAAGACTGTAAGGTCATTTAGGACACAGGGCATGAGAAACAAAAGAGATATTTCATTTTTCAAAATGAAAATTACACCATTACCACACTGAGAGATGTTTTTCTACCTCCTGGAAAAAAAATAATCACTTGACAGGCCTAAGCCCTTTCACGAAGGTTCATGGAAAAGCTGCAGCTTATCCATGAAGCTTCATCTTCAAAAGAACCACAAAGTACAGCCGTGGAGCCATGAAAACTCCTTATGCAACCCAAGTTCAAGAACGCTGCACTGAAGATCAGAACCAGGTTCATCTGTGCCACAGCCCAGCATGGCACATCACCAGTCTCAATCATTAAAAATATTAACATCTTGAATACACTTCAAGGTACAACAGCAAACTTGCAGCACTCGAAATACAGGATTAAGCTGCAAACCACAGAAATGTTGTTCTATGGGTGACAAATGCTTTGATACACTCGTTCCCCCAAACACCAAGAGAGATGCTGCCCTGTAAGTTAATCTTGCAGACTTACCTTAATCTCTGACTGGCTTAAGTACAGTGCTCCTAGATTGCTCCAAGCCACAACATTCTGGATGAAAAAGACAAAAAATTATTAAGCTAAGTTACATTTGAATCCAAATTTTACTACATGAGATTTACAATTTTTAAAAAATTAAAGGAATGCATTTGCTCTTTAAATCTAATAATGAGCTTTCTAGACCAACCAAATAAAAACTGAAAGAATTGCATGCTCACTGAAAAAAAAACCCCGATGACCCAAACTTCAAACCTTACAATTTTTCTTAGGAGGGAAAAAAAACAACTTACAGAGCTTTCGCATCCGATGGACTTGATAAAGCAGTGCTGGGCTAGTCCAAGGTTTTCATCCTCTGAAAATAATTCAAACATTAATGAATGAATGAACAAAACTCACAAAAACCAAAGCCAACAGTTGAGATTCAAACTCTGGTCACACACATCATATAATAGCATAACACTAACGGGGCATCTGTTAGCACGAAAATATGCTTAACTATGCAAAACTCTTTCTTCTTTATACTTTATGTGAAAAATAATGTTATCAATCCAGTGTGTTGTCGTCATCCATCCAGATGAAAATAATAAAGATCCACATTCAAACAGCCAATTCCCGTTCTGTGCATTCTCAAATAATATATGAACACCTATTCATAAATAGTAAAAAGGCATTAATAAACATGCTCTCTTCCCCCCCCCCCCTCAAAGCACACGCACACCCTTTTTTCCCTGACAAAAAGAGATGTTTAGTACACAAAAATATCCATAAATGCAATCAACAAAAGCTAACAAAAACACAACAAAGACCAGTGCTATGAACTCACCTTTGCAGCAGGCCAGGACTCCCAGGATGTTCCAGTGTCTCCAGTCCTTGGGCTCGAGACTGAGGGCTTTCCTCACTGCCTGCTTGGCTCTCTGCAGCACTGCCAAACTCAACGTGACCTCGCCTGATGCGACCAGAACCTGGCTCTGTCGGTACAAGCTAATCCCAAGGTCGTGCCAGAGGGCACTCTGGTCTGGGAGGATCTTCACGGCTTGACTGTAGCACCTGTGGACGGATTGTAAATCATCAGCCATCTGTTTATTTGTACTAAGTTCAACCACCTCTTTGCCTGCCCAGCACTTAACAACCTGCATAGTGCCTACCTACCACCCTCCCCAGATATCGGAAATACTCTAAGCAGCCATAAAACACAGCTGATAAAAACCTGTAAATTCTTTGTCATATTGACAGGCTGAAGGGCTAGAATTCAGATGGCTGCTGGATCGGACAAATAAGTAAAAAGTAAAGTATTTGTACTAAGCTCAAATTTTTTTAATTAAAAAATTCCAGTTTCTCAGTATGTGGTATCCGCTGCATATACTCATGGAACATTTTGACAAAATTCTAATTCTGATCACTAATGGTTGAAAAAAAGCAAGAAAAGATATGTAATGTAGGTATAATTGTAAAAACAAAATAAAACAGTTTTTCTCTCTCGATGAAACTTTTGCTTTTTGGGATTAGTACATTTGAACAGCTTGCCAACAAAAGGTATTCTGTCACCATTGATGCTGGTTAGATTATATGACAGATGGGCTGTTTCGACTGACCCTGTCTGTTCAGGCCAACCCAGTCTGCGTAGCATACAAATACACAATATTCCCCCCCAAAAAGAAAGGGAATACTATGTAAAATATCTTCCCCATAAGAGACTCAAACTCAAATCCCATCAGAGCACTCACTGACCACTTGTAACTGGATACAAAAGAACAAAACAATATTCAGTTACTTTGCTGTGTTGAAAGTATTGGAGGGTGGAAAGTTTGGCATTTCAAACGCCTGTCCTTTATAAGAGGCATCATCCCCAGTGTGTGTTCAGAAAAGAATTTCAAACATGGTAATCCAGCAAGGCAATAGCAATAGTTCTCACTTTCCCTTTCTGATACAAATGTAATTATTAAAAGTCAATGCAAGGAAAGTACAGTAGAATGAAAGCATCACATCCTCACTCCAAGGCTTCTTAGATTTTTCAATTTAAAAAAGCCTAGGACTGTCATGAGAGACAAAATAAAGAAAGCTATCATAAATTTCAAAATGGAAAAATAAACCACACAGTTATAAAGTCCAAGCCATTTATAAATAAGACAGAAATGTCTTTACCTTGCACCAATCTCCAAAAGCTGTTGCTTGTTGACAGTCTGTAGACCAGAGTCTGATGCACTCTTTCCGACAAGTTTTGCAGGAATTCTGAAAGACAAATAAACCTTTGTCAAGGACAAAGTTTGCTATTTTACAGGCTATATTTTTTCAATCCACCCCCCCCAATAGAAAAGAGATGCACAAATCATATTCCCACCCCCCCCCCCCCCCCCCCCCTAATTTTTTTCTTCTAAAACAAAAAAAAAAATCCCCCAGAATATTTAGCTTGGAGCAAGATTTATTACATATCCATGAAAAAATAAAAATCTACTTTCCTTTTGAAGCTTTCCATGGTATGTCTTGAAGCACTCCCCTAAATACCTTGTAAAGCCACACACTCCCCTGCCCACCCCCCACCCCATCACTCCTTGAGGTATCTCGTCTCACCTGAAAGCGTCTGAGGCCAGGCAGTGTGTCAGTGTGCAGGCTTCTCCCATCAGTTTCCACAAACACGACAAGTCCGGCCTGTGGGCTGCTGCCCTGAAGATGGTGGGCACAGGAAGAGAAATCATATCAAAAAATGTTTTCCAATTCAGACACCGACTCCAGTGCAATTTTGAAAGCACATTTGTTCATTTTCTTCACTATGTGCTTTGTAAGTAAACTGCAACAATTTTTCTTTCTTTGAAAGAAGCATAAAAAGTTACGACAACATACAGGACTTGCAAGATTGTCTGATCCAGAGAATCTATTTTCACCTAATGACGGGAAAAATATTCCTCCGCACAAGAGTAAATTCCCAAATGGGAAAAAAACTTCAAATGATAGAAAGTGAACAAACATTTCTTTTCATCAGTATACGCATGCAAATTATCACTCAAATCTTAGGCATTGACAGTGCCATTCAGAGATCAAGTAAAATCATCTCAAACCTTTTCACTAAAATAAATCATTGTTCACCTTGTCAGATACAAGAGAGCTTCCTCAGCATAATCTTGAGCCAGCCCATCCAAACAACGACCGACGTTGTGTTTGGCCAGTTGTATGAGGGACTCACCCAAACCTTTAAGAAAAAAAGAAAGATACACATGATTTTTGCAAAAGAAATTTTTAAAAATTCAGTATGGAAATAAGCTACTCGTATCACTATCCATTTCACTACACGTGGTTGGGTGGATATAAATGGTCTGTGGTCCCACTTCCACCAACAGGAGACTAAACTACCCTGCTAAAGGGGTGCTGAGGTGCTTCTTGCACTCCACAACATCTTTGCCACAAGAATGGTATTTTTGTCCATGCTTACTTTTTTTTCAATGCGGCTCTCATTTATGCTGATCAGTTAAACGAGGGTCTGATCCAGCAAAAAAACAAAAACAATCCAAAACAACCAACCAGATCCCAAAATCAGAGCAGTGTGGGACTCCAGCTGTAAGAGGACCTATTTACATCTACCAGATGTTTAAAAGTATAAAAAATAATCAATGTGTGGGTAAATAAATTTGCAACTGTAGTATTTCTTATTTGAATAACATTTTTAAAAACAAATTGTATTCTTACATGCTGTTTGAGAAATTAATATTTATAAAATATATATTAAACTATCATTTCAATATTTCCCTGCTTAGATTTTCTTTCAACTTTCAAATATTGAGTTGTACAGACTGTCTTTATGCCTTAGATTTGAGAGAGAGTCAGTGACAGAGTCATCTCCTCCACCTGAGACCTTCACTGTGTCACTTTCTCCACTCACCCTTCAGAACAGGCACATAGTGAGCCGACATGCCAAGGACTTGCTTGTACTCCTGGACAGCCTCAGACAGGGACCCCAGGGTTTGCTTGATGCTGGCAATTCTGAAAGGGGCAACAGAATAGTCAACATTTTGTGCTTTCGTTAAAAAAAAAAAGAACAAAAGGCTTCTTCAAAGTCAAAACAAACTCCCCTCCAAGTCATCCTAGTATAAACAAAATCAGTAGCATAAACTGATTATTCACAGTTCACAGAAATAACCATGTCCAAAAAATACTTACTGATACTGACAGTAGAGAGACTCTGGGTCCAGCTGAGAAAAGTAAGAAAAACAAAATAAATCAGTGCTTTGCAATTAACAATACAAAAGACAGTAAAACTAGAATAATGTTTGCTTTTTCAATGTTTCTAGGGTCTAATCTTTTTTTCATTAAACTTTTGATATTCATCATTAAAAAAACCCCAATGTACCTGTTGTACTTGCTTTCCAAGTTTTCTTACATTCACAGAATGCTATCTTACATAGAAAAAGACAATTTCATTACAATATAATACAGGGTGCCCATTGCACAATCGAGTCGGATTGGGTCGACTTGCTAGCCAGATAGAGGGCACAAAGCGGCTATCTTGGCACAAACCGATCGTCCAACTCGTCGCCTAAAAAACAAACCCATTTGTTTACAGGCGACGAGTCAGGCAATCGACCTGACCCGACCAATCCTATCCGCAACGGGCACCCAGTATAACATTACCACTGCCTTTTCACACACCAATAACAGTCCTACCTCAGATGCCTTGGTGAAAGCCTTTAGAGCAGCTGTGAAACTTCCCCTCTGGAAGTAAGCGTCTGCCAGACACTCCCACACATGGCTGAAACAAAGGCAAAAAAATCATGAGAGGTCAAATCTGTCCTTTTAACGCAGTCAAACTATCTCCACTGAAGTTGAGGGGGTTGATAATCAAATTAATACTTTTCTCTTTATGAAAAAGTGGAATGAAGGGTGCCACAGTAATATTGTTTGTATAGAAGAATAATAATGATTCACGTAATACATGGGTGGGTGTGATCACTGGTAGCTAAAGGAATGGTAGCGATATTGTTAATATGAGCAAAAGTTATGGGTATTGTATTTTTTAAACCATTAAAAATACTGCAATTAGCTTGATCTTTGCCTTGCAATGCCTCAAGTTCATGAAAATGTACGATGCCGACTAGTTTAAATTTTGTTAGTTAAAATGAATGATTTAGCCCCCAAAAAGCGATCAATAAAGCAGGTGATTGTTTTCACAGATTTTACAGTACTACTGAACATTCATGGGATAACTTCTCACTTGTCATTGGGGTCAGCTCGCAGTGCAGACTGTAGGGATGCGATGGCTGTGGTGGGATCCTCTTGTCTTGTCTGGTGCAGGCCTAGTCTCAGCCACGCCCACTTGGCACTGGATATAACAAGAGAAGCAAAAAGGTTCATAGATCTGAAACATGACTTACAGCTATGAGGACTCACAATGTCACAACCTGATTATAGAACAACAAACTGTCCAGAAAGTTTAAAAAAAAAAGTTTACCAAAGTAAGTGTCTGTCATTTGAAATAAAACTTGGACCTGTGGGACTGACATTATCAATCGCTACACAGCACATGAAGAATGAAGATAAGAACAGACAAGTCATGATAAGATACACTTGATTGATCTTCAGCTAGAAGAGTCTGACAGTGTGTGTTTCGCCTGATTCTTAAACACAAAACATGAAAACACATCACAGCAACGCAAACACTTACAACTTACATCAAATCAACACCTATAGACACATTAGGGCAAACAACCTCTCTCTCTCTCTTTTTCTCCCTGCCTCCCTCTGTATAGCTCGCTCTCTCTCTCTCTCTCTCTCTCATGTACAGCTGAGCTGCTGCATTATTCTCATGAAACTTCTTCTTTTAATACACATTCCCAGACCTTTGACCCTCCCAGTAATTCACCATACCAATCAACTCTCCAAGTAAAAGATCTCATGACCTTAGTGAGAAAATTCTGTATAGAGTTATTGATGTGACCAAACAAGAGGAACAGCATCTCTCCAATACACTGTCCCTCATTCTATCATTATAAGGTAGAGAAAAGGAGTAATAACCATTTTTCACAAATTCACACATTAAAAAAAAGCGCAAAATGTTATATACTGCTCCACATCAAACTCATATCATAAGTTCTATAAATTCCCCAACTCAATTATCTAAATGACTAAAGATACTCAAAAAACTATCTACTTTCAGACAACATGAATTTATAAAATAACATCAGCTCAGTCAAAGTTGTAAGGAACACCTTTCAATAATAAGTCACTGTCAGAAAGGGGGCTATGTTTATATGTCGGAGCACTAGCTTGAAAGATTTAAAAGAACAACCCAAAAACGACATACCATCCAGCAGCAGCTTTCGCAGTGACATTCTCCAATATCTTTATGGACTGGCTCTGAAACAAAATAAGCGACCAAGCATCTTTGACATTATGTCACACATCAGAAGAAAAAAACATGAAAACAAAACAGTAACAACGATAAAGAACATTTTAAGTCAAGAACCAACAATTCAACTCGCAGAGTAAGAACTGCTAAAAATAAGTTTCTTTGAGAACTCTCTATTAGAAGGATAAGGTAAGATAAGATAAGATAAGATAAGACTGGATAATATAAGATAGATAAGATAAGACACAATAAACTATACTGATCCACAAGGAAAATTTTTGAAGGATATACTGAACATCAACAACAAAAATTCAATATCAACACAGCAATGCACCCAGTACATTCCTGTTCAATGAAACACTTATAACAATGACCAGTTCACCCACACAGCATACCCAAAATAGTGTGTCCATCCGCATGAACTCTCCTTACCTCTCGCTCTTCCTGCCTCTCTCTCTCTCTCTCAAACACACACCAACCCACCCACCCACTCACACACACACTCACCCACACATCCACACACACACCCACATACACTCACACCCCCCCACACACTCCCACCCACACATTCACACACACACACACCCACACATGACAACAAAGAGCCCTCACCTCCTCCCCCAGCTCCATAAGTGTGTCCACGAGAGCAGAGCCAGGCTCGTCCTTCCCTCCACTGAGGTCGTACGCCTTCTGGTAGCATCGCCGCGCTTTCCTAAATTAGAGCAAACAAACATAGTTCTACTTTAAAATATTTTTTTGTTTTTGTTTTAGAAGAGGTTTTACGGCGCTCGCTACTGCATAAGGTCATATGAGTGCCAAGGGGTGGATATCAACAGAGAAGTCCATACAGGGAATCAGACTTACTCTGCTCACTTCTCTAGCTTCAACAGCACAAAGTCTGCTTCGACTATGAAGGCATCCCAGAAATAGTGGGCCACAAGAGTGTGACAAACATAAAAAAGAAGTAGAGGAAAATGACGATAGTAAGGATTAGGAAAGAAAAAGCAGTAGTTCCCTGTTGTAGTTCAGGCAGTTATGAGCATGACATTGTTAGATCAGCCCATTTGCAATTCTACGGTGCATTAGAAAAAAAATGGTCTAAAGACACTTCAGTCAGTAGCACTACCCCGGGGGTTAAAGATTTTTAAAAACATTATTTTTTAGTAAGAGTTTTACGGAACTTGCAACACAATAAGGTCATATAAGTGCTGAAGATTAGAGGTGTTACAAGAGAGTAACAAACACAAAAAAGAAGGAGGAGAGATCATGCATATAGACGTTTGGTAGGAATGAAGGAGCAAACCACACAAGAGCACCTGCCAACCACCCACTTAAAAGATTTCAAGACAGTCAGAGCAATTACAAACCATGAACACCATGCAGACTTAAAAATAAATATATATTAAGTAGGCACGAAAATGATACACCAATAAAGAAAACCTCTCCCAAACCTGTCAACACTGGCAACATACATTAGCCTCTTACAGGTTGAGAGCATCACTCACACTATATAAATTTTTTTAATTTAAAATTTTGTACCAAATTATTATTTTCAGTTACTGACCTATCATTATATCAGCATGGATTCCATATCATTACATTGCACACCCTTTGCTTAAAAAATGCATTAAATTCTTTTATATGTTGTTGTTACAAACAAACAAATGTGAGGCAGCGTGGTGGAATCAGGCTCTCGTCAAAATAATCAAAGTGAAGAAACTTGCATTTTTCCTAAGGTT